GCTTTCGGGTGTTCTGGCGTCCAGTTGCTCGGGAAAATTTCTGGCATTACGCTTCTTCGAGAACCGAATTCGAGATACGTTGAATGTGTTCAGAAGCTCCCCGCACAGCACGTGGAGTGAAATGTGATCAGAAGCTCCCCACACAGCACGTGGAGTGAAATGTCGGGCATGGTGCCGAACAAACGCGCGGCACAACTGACGGTGAGCAAGTTACGATGGCTTTCGGCACGGTGTCCGACGCTTCGCTCCGCGTGATGGGAGCTTCTTCGGGGACCGAATTCCAGATGTAAACCAACAGTACGATGAAGCTCCCCGGCACGCGGAGCGGACACGTCAGACGATCATGCCGAACTACAGAGCGGCACAACTCCGATGTCCTATTTCGGAGAGCCACTCCGTACCTACCACAGTGGTGCCTCCAATTACAGAGTCTACGCATGTACGTACACCGTGCGCGCCCGGGTGTAATTTATTACGCCCGGTGTATATGTGTTATGGTCGGCAGGGGCTTCAAGGGAGGAGGAGGAGGAAGTGGTCGGTGACATGTTAACACGTGGGCCGTTAACTGAGGCCAAGCTGACGTGTGCAGCTCTGTAATTAGCCGAGCCTCCCTCTGTGGGGTCGCGACCCCGGCGACCCCTTCTATGCCTGATGCAGACACCCCTGCCAGCTGAGTGGCTGTAAATACATGCAGGCCATGTGGCTCCCCCCCCCCCCCCCGCCATTACCAGACACAGAACACAAGGCAAAGAACACACAGCCACCCACCCACCTCCCAGTGCACTAAACAATGGCTCTGAGCCTACGGGAAGCATCATGCTTTCACTGTCTAAAGCTCTCAAGAATGATTGCGAATAAATTACAGTTCTGTAGGAAATTCATGCTTTGGCAGACAGTTGAGCCCTGTTCCATTTTGTTGTTTAACGCTGTTGTCATATTTCACGATTTTTTTTTTATAAAATGTAATTTACAGCACTTTAGCCATTTTACTACTGGATGAATGCCTCCAACCCCACGGCAATGCGGGGGATCGTGGGGGGTCGTTTGGTCAAGCTTGGTGAAGGCGGAGAGCCCAGGAGTGAATTCTCATTCCAGTCGCCACTGATGTTAGCCGTGGCCAGGAATCAAACTCAAGTCGCAAAGGTTCACAGAGCAGCGGTTGCAACCACTGCGCCACGAATCCCTGCGCACCCCCCTCCCCCCTCCTCAACTGCTCCGTTTCTCCCAAACACATACATTACCCATTAGGGGCATAATCAGATATGTTTCGTTATTGTTATAAAGTTGTCCATAGAACTCGGGGCCAGGTTTTGTGCAAGTATTATTCCAAGGCTTGCCAGCCGGGCCAGTGCCAAAAATAAATAAAATGAATTACTGAATAAATTATTTTCAGTTTGATTTTGCCTGCAGGCATACTTGTTGAGCGCAGTGTAAGGTATGTGTGAATGTTCGTAGATGTGCGTATGTCGGTGTACACCATCGGGCGAGTGGTAGTGCAGAGGTTAGCGCGATGCGCTATGAACCCGGCAACCTGTGTTCGATTCCCGGTCACGGCCAACACCAGTGACGATGACCTCTGCATTGTGGGGAACTGCATGAAGCCAAAGAGCTTCGACATATTTATTTTCAGCAGGCTGTAGTGATTTTGGAGAATGGAACAAAAATACTAATTTACGTTTCAAAAGAAGAACGTTTAAAACCAATGCATATTACATGCTATGACATAAGGATCAGAAGCACGCAGATTGACAGAACATGGAACCGAGGTTGAGGAATGCATAAAGACGAATTGGAAAGGTACAAGCTTGGAATTGTGTCAAGTGACAGGAAGAGTATCGCGTGCATTCGAGGACTAACGCAAGTTCGAGACGTCGTATTGAAGGTCAACGAAAGCGGCATTCGGCAGGACGCAGTCACCGTACAGGGATTAAGGCTGGCGATCAAAGAGCAAGATCAGCGCCGTCGCCAAATGAAGGCGCACGACCGAGTGGACGTCCACCGCGGAGGCGGAGCAACAAAATTGGCTTTCGTGTCTAAGCTCCACGGATTGTCGCACTGTGCATTGTGCGATGGCGATAGATGGCGACGGCCTGGGCAGGCCTTCATGCAGCAGTGGATCGATCGTGGCAAGATGACTCTCGTGCACTGCTTCACTCCGCTACTCCCTGACGCGGTTATCTGGGACTGACCACCTGAATGTGAAATTGTAGTTGTTGCCAATGCATCAACATCAGCCGTGCGATAGAACAAGACTGCTTGAGACATTGCAGCAAGCTCCCAGCAAGTACTTGAAGCCCATGTGCACGTGTCTGACTTGATGACACCGTACCGTGTTGCTACTGACACGCACTGGTGCCACAGACAAATTGCCTACTACCCCTCCCCATCCTCTATGAGCAAGCCATCACCGGCTACACCACACAGGGGGCAACGTTTATGCCTGATTTAGTAAGCGTCCTGAGCTCTTGTGATCATACTTACGACCTTCATTACACGGCTGTCCAAAACTCAGAGGAAGGATTTGTGTTTCAGACGTCACGCTGGATATCAGTGGTTGGTATGAGCTTTCGTGCAAAGAACGAACTACTGTAGGTAGGGCCCTCTGTCCGACATCTCCCCGTCTTCACAGCCTAGCGAACCGAGCCTCCCTGGCCTGTCGACCCTAGTGCAGTTGCACCACCTCACACACTCGATGGTGAGCAAACTGTTGAATGTTTATACGAAGACACAAAATATATTATTTTACATCTTTGGTTTCGGCTATGTGTTGGAACACCAATTATTTATTTGTTGACAGCCCATGAAGCAAACATTTTTTTTTAACAGAGTCAAAGTAACATCAATCATTATTTTGTGATTGCCCTGTAAAGCATTTTATTTTTTTGCAAAGAGCCAAAGTAAACCTGAACGTTCCTCTACTTGGCTTGAACGCAGGGCGACACTCTGGCAGACACCACTACCACTCTGCGGGCTAAGATGCAGTAACATAAGAGCTCCAGTAAAATTACATTTGCAGGCATTTTCTCCAAAACATACAATATAATTTGAGGAATAGTTGGTGGAGGGGGGGGGGGGGGGATAGCTGGGCTGGTGGGAGACCTGTGGCCCTTGTTCATCGTCACTGCTCAGGATTTTAATATTTACTTCCAAACGTGATAACCTCTGGAATGCCATGCAGCGGCATGTGATTGCAACTCACGTAATTCACCAGCCCTCTCAAACATACAAACCCGTAGCAGAGGAGCGACTGTGGCCACTTGCGTTGCGTGCATGTCCACGGTTTAATTTTACGCACGCTCGTTGAAAATTCGTGATCAAACACAGAGAGCCGGGTCGTCCTCGCGTGATCATTGAACAGTAAAGTGAGCCAAAGTATATTTTGTTTGTTTCTTCTTTAACACGTAACTTGGTCGCATGGTTGCTTGCTTGCTGCGGTGAGAACGCGCGCGCATTATTGGCAGGCCAGCTTCTCTGCTCAAAGGCCACGGTGCCCTTAACTCGAGCCTCTGCCGACGGCGTTGGCCGAGGGTGCCACGGCGTGATGGTTTCGCGGTTGTGCCGTCACAGCTCTCCGATGGTTCTTTCGGGGCTGCACTTTGCGCGTCGTGTGGGCACGACATTTCGCTCCGCGCGATGGGAGCTTTTTATCTTCCCCCCCACGAACTCGATTCGAGATACACGAGAAACGTACGCAGCAGAAGCTCCCCGGCTCGTGGAGCGAAACGTCGGACATCTTGCCGACAAACGCACGCGGCACAGCCCGAAAATCGCGCCGGAGAGTTTGCCGAGGGTGCTTGCCGCTCTCGTCAGGCAGGTGGTTGCGGCTGATTTATTAACGAGTTGCCAACCAAGAATACCGAGAGTCAACGACACTTGCACGTTCCCTGCTCGGGTTTCAAGCCGGGCTGCCACTTTTTCCCCAGATTTACGGCCGTCTCTCCCTCTCGAAACGAGCTACAGCGCGCACACGCTGCACGCGCGCTATTTCAGAACTCTTCCGAAATGGCAGACCCCCGGAGCACAACACTGGCTAAAATACGAGGCAATTAAACCAATACCTGGGAGATGTGTTTTGTGGAGATGGCCATTGTAAAACCTCTTACAACTCCTCGTTGGCAGAATTACTGCATCGCTGTTGATGACGATGACCGCAGATGGGAGCATAACATTCGGAGTGTTACAGCTGACTCCTTTAAAGACCATTTGAGAGCTCAGGCAAGCACATTATTAACGACGTGCAATACTGGGCAAAGTTAATTTAATTTGGAGACCCGTGTGAACATACATCGATCGGAAAATAAAAAAACGTTTGTTCGCGTGCACCAGAATATCATGTGCGCGCCACCGACCTAGAGTATGTGTCTCTAGAAATGTCCACACCGATCATGTCCACGCGCGGGCGTAAAAATACATCGTTTGATATACGAAAAGAGCTGGTGTAACACGACTGGCGAATACTCATGCACGCGAGGAGGCATGGACGTACACTAACTCATGTAGAAGTGGCCGTGTTAAGGTTACGCTGAAGACGAACGCGCGGGCTCCACGTGAGACGAATTCCAACTTGGACTTGTGCAGCAGCAGCAGCGCCTCCGCTTTTATTAACGCTTTTGACCGTCGTGTGAAAGACGCTCCGCGCGTGTCGAATTCCGCGATAACCCACACACGTGTGCCGCATTATACACACACAGAGTTTGTATCTGTGCTTCGTCACAGACACCACATGGTTTTTGACACAAATTATTTCTCTTTTGACAAGAGAAAGGGCTGGGAGGAGGGGGAGGGGAGAAAGAATGGGTTGGAGAGTCAAGCAAAGCAAAGCAAAAAAAAATCCACTTTGTGAAAAATGATGAGCTTGCTGATAGAGCACGTGTCACTATTGCTGGCTACCTCGAGAGAGTATTCCTCTCACTGGCGCTGCAATTAAGTTATAAAGTCAAAACATGGAAGGCTGAGGTTGGAAACCACACGGAGAAGGCACAGCATAAACAAGCCATCACCTTCCTTGCTGGAGCCGAGCTGTTTGGCATTTCCAGACGCCAAACGGTGAAGGGGTCTCTTGCTCCCAAGATTGCGTTTCCACGTTGTCTGCAGCGCGCACACAAGCGGGCGCGATAATTCAATTCATGGCGAGTTCCAGGTCTGGAGGAAATGTATCGTGTCAGGCAATAGTTCACTAATTAGACCTTCGCTCGAGAATGTTTACTGAAACCGGTGGACACCCTCCTTCCACCTCCCGGGGACCGCGTTATGGGAGTAGGCGCGTGAAGCAACGAGCCCCCGAATGCAGAAGCAGAACACGAACGACTACGACTAAACGCTTTCACATCGGCGGCAGTGAAAAACCGATTTGTTGAAATTCAATCGTGAAAAAGTTGCCTTTAAAAAAAATATTTTTTTCTGAGCACGACGCAGGTGTTCTTAAACTTCGTATGTTAGTTCCTTGTGTGAAGTGATGACATTTGTGAAATATAAATCATCCGCAGTGATAGACAGCTTTTAAAGTGCATATTACAATACTCTAGTGCCCATATGAATACGGTAATAAAATATTATATTTATTCGCTAAAGGTTTAAAATCAGTGTATTATGAAGGTTTAAAATGTTTACTTTTTTTACAAACATATTGAATATTAAACCCCTTAAACCATCATCATCATCAGCATCATCCATATTTTAGTCAATCCTGGATTAAAGCTTCTCATTATTTATTACCATTGTACTCCATTAGTGTAGTGGTATTATTATTATTGTACTATATTAGTGCAGTATTATTACTGTACTCTATTAGTGTATTATTACTGTACTATATTAGTGTAATATTAGTATTACTGTACTATATTAGTGTAGTATTATTATTACTGTACTATATTATAATCTTGGTTCTTTCGGTAAAGTCACATAGAAGGGAAACAATAAAATAATAAAAATATAAACCAATAAAATTCTCACGACGTTTCGACTGCAACACAAGCAATCATCATCAGGTGTGAAAACCACAGCAATAAAATTTGAAAAAAGTGGCGGTTTTTTTTAACGTTAGCACCACGGAGAGCGATTTGGCAGTTATTCAGACGGACGAGTCCATCTATGTTCGGAAAAGAGGAGGGGGGAGACGAAAAGAATGGATGCGGTCTGAAAGCCACCGTAAGCGTGAACAATCAATTAAGACCCGAAATGGTTTATCAAATCCTTCCAATGATTGCTAAACCAGAATCCATCATCTCGGTTGAAATTGTCTCTGTGTTTGTATATGTGGATAGCCTCATGAATGAATCTTTCATGGTAGCCAGATGGCTTGCAAATAACCTCTGTCTTGGAGAAGTCAATGTCACGTGAGCCTACTGAATTATAACAGTGATCTGCCACGGCCGAGGTGTTCGTCCTACCGTGTTTTAGGTCTGCTTTGTGTTCACGAATGCGGTCTGAGGCATGTCGTTTGGTTTCTCCAATGTAACTACTACCACAGAGGCAACTTAGTTTGTAGACGCCAGGGTACTGTATGTCCGGAATCACATCTTTTACAGATGGAACCAGATCACGGATTTTATGTAATGTCTTGAATCGGACCTGGATCTGGTGTTTACTCAAGATTTTGGTGACCTTTTTTGTGATCTCCGAAATGTAGGGTAAAGTGATGGTTGTGAAAGGCTCCTCAAGAGGGTCCTTCTTCATGGTTGGAGTGATGGCTTTGCGGATTGTGTAGTCGGAGTAACCATTAGCCTTAAGAGCTTGGTGTACGTGCTTGAGTTCACTGGCTATGTGTTCCTGGTCGGATATGCATTGGGCTCTATGGTGCAGAGTCTTGATGAGGGAATTCTTCTGGGATGGATGGTGGTGGGAATCCGGTTTCAGGTAAGCATCCGTATGGGTAGCTTTCCTGTAGACAGAGTGGCTCATTGAACCATCAGGTCTCTTTTTTATTAGTGTAGTATTATTACTGTACTATATTAGTGTAGTATTATTATTACTGTACTATATTAGTGTAGTATTATAATGACTGTACTATATTTGTGTAGTATTATAATTACTGTACTATATTAGTGTAGTATTACTGTACTATATTAGTGTAGTAGTATTATTACTGTACTATATTAGCGTAGTATTATTATTACTGTACTCTATTAGTGTAGTATTATTATTACTGTACTATATTAGTGTAGTAGTATTATTACTGTACTATATTAGTGTATTATTACTGTACTCTATTAGTGTAGTAGTATTATTACTGTACTATATTAGTGTAGTATTATTATTACTGTACTCTATTTGTGTAGTAGTAGTATTATTACTGGACTCTATTTGTGTAGTATTATTACTACCGTACTCTATTAGTGTAGTAGTAGTATTCGGAGCGGCTGTCAGTAGTTTTGCCTGGCCAATCACCGTAGTTCGTAAGTATGAAACAAACGCCTTTTAACCACACTTGCAGCAGATGGCTATTGGCCCGATACAAAGCCAAACAACAGTTCGATCCCTCAACGCGGCCCAGCTTGCGTTGTTCAGACGAGAAATCAGAACGATAAAGAACACAGCAGGCCTGCAATTACTTGCTCCTGTCACTGCTGATGGACGGGTGTCCACCAGAGGAAGCTGTAGAGGGCCCTCCTCTAGAAGAGATGTTTAGCCTCCACTGCCACCTTGGGAGAAGTGTACCCACACTTTACCGCTCATGATGGACTAACTGGATTGCACTAAATTATACTGCTGGGTGAACAAAAGGCGGAGGCGATTTGTGCTGAACGCTCAGGGGGGACAGGTCACATCTAAGACGTCGCGGACAATCATGTAATAAGGGATTATTCAATAATCTGAGTGTTTGTGCAAAAAAATGACCTGTACTGTGCGCCAAGCTAACTCGATTATTTTTTTTGCTTCAAACCCCATTTTGCACATGCCGGCGTCATTAGCCTCCATGCAGAATGTTTACAAGTTCACCTAACTTTTTCTCTCCCCTCCCCACCACCACCACCAACTCACCCCCCACCTCGTTCAGGGAATAGTTCAAACTGCTTCGCCGCCGCGCCTAATTTTAATTTTCTCTTGACATGAAACACCACGGTGGCAAATTCCTGCAAGAGCTGGTGGGTGGATGGGTGGGTGGGTGGATGGGTGGGTGGGTGTGCAGTATCCTCTAGGAATCGTCGTCCCGGGCGTGCTGGTGGACAGAAAGGTGCCCTCTTTGCAACGAGCGCGTGGGCTCCGCGCGCTCGGTTTTGTACCCCAGGGGTTGGCGATGGTGGTGGTGGTGGCAACGATCAGAAAAAAAACACAAAACCGTCTGGAGGGCGCAAAAGTGAAGCGGGGATTTCTTGAGACCACCCAGTCGCAATGCCACGTGCAACACATCAAGACACGCGCATGCTTTTAGCCTGATTATGGCCCAATCCCAAAGCCGCAGTTACGGCCTCCCTTCCTCAAATGTCCCTAACGAGAGCATCAATTGAGTGCTCAGTTGATACGTGTCCAGGGGCCCGCGCGGTGTGTGTGTATTTATTTTCTGACGTTGCAGGGTAATTGGCGGACCCCGTAATTGCAAACTGTAATCTATAGTTAACAAAAATAACCCCACAGCCACTTGTAAACACACATGAAATAAGTTTGGTGTAATTAAATAACGTTCTTTTAAAACAAGGACCAGTTTAAAGAAAATGTTCTCTTCTAAATAAGCTATGAGTTGTTTAGACTACGCCATTCTAAAGACTTAAAAGTAGACTCATAATGACGAAGTTCATCTAGAATGGACAAATTTGCTGTAATAGTCCACTATCGCCACCTTCTGGCGTGGCATGCAATGCCCGGATGAATACATCAAATGCCGTGCGGGTTGTAACCACAAACGCACGACGCAATATCGAACACTCGATGTCACAAAAATGAAAACATCTATGTACACAAAAAGAAAAAAAGTTATTATTAAAATGCAATGCTTATTATCGATGAAAATAATGAGGAAGTTAAGCAGCAGCAACATCATCAAATAGCAGAAGGATGTTGTGGGGCACCACTCAAAACAAACTCACGATGCTTCCCAGGATATACCGTAAAAAGAACAATTCATTATTGTATAATACATATTTAAAATATACAAAGGCAGAAAAGGCCGTTGTTTGCAAGGTCAACATTCAACCAGCTAACTTACATCAACACACCAGAAGGTTCACTTTAAAACGATGTCTTGGCTGTCCATCGACAACGATTATGAAGAGTGCTCCTCTTGTGGTTGGGGGGAGGGGGTATGGGTTATCGCTTTTGGCGCCCGTGCAACTCCATGAGTTTGGCAAGATGCTCCCAGTCACATCCTTGACCTGAATCTTCTGCTATTCGCTGTCGCCGCATGACTTTTAAAAAGGGGGAGGGGTTGTAGCTTGAAGTGGATCAAGGTCACGGTCGGGGGTGAGCATTCCCTCGTGGGGCTGAACGATTTGGGGAAAATATCTAATTGCGATTTTTTTTCTGACAGAGATTGCGATTTGCGATAATTTTTTTTTAAAGTCAAGGTTCAGTTCAATATTCACTGTGTAATGGATTTAAAACACGTGATGGAGCATGGCCACGTGATGCCATCAAAATTTGAATTGCTCTATATATTCTAATGCAGGGATGAGAACTGGAAAGATATGAATTGCTTCCAACATGTATTTATAAAAAAATGTTTTAATTGAAATAGAACAATCAAACATAGAACAATTGTTAAGTTAAATAAATAAAGTTATAATAAGAAAAAATAAAACAAATCCAATAAGGAAGTAATAGGACTTTTAAAATCGCAAACAAAATCGCAGCCTTTGCGATTTGCTCATTGCATTGTTTCAAATTGCGATTTCGCTTTGAAATCGATTCATCGTTCAGCTCTAGTACCAAGGCCCATCATCTTCACTCAAGCCACACAGACTCGGCTGGCACGAGGAACTCCCGTCGACCTTCGTCTGGTCAAAGCTGCAGGGGACTGCCGGAGATCCGATTTGGAGTCAGGGTTTTCTCCCCTAGCCAAAGTTTACCCACGCGGACCCCCTACTGGCACCAGTGACCATGGGCTGCCAACGGGGAGGCACAGCAGGGAGTCTTGGCGATGGAGAGGCTCTGTACTGGCAGGGAAGACTTACGTGACGGCTAGCCAGCGGCAGCGTTTGACAGCATGGGTAGCAAAACAAAGCAAAGCGAGCATGGCAAGCAAGCGGACGTGCATTTAAGCTAATCATAATTACTGCGCTAAGGGGCCGTCCATAAATGACGTCACGCACCTAGGGGGGGGGGGGGTCAGACATTTGTGACAATGTGTGACGAGGGGGGGGGGGGAGTCAGAAATTTGACGTCACATGAAAATGCCAACTTTAAATAAATATA